ACAAAACCCGCAGCAAGGGCACAGCACAGCCATGAACAGCGACTGTAGCTGGGGGAAGTGGTCAATCGTGGACCTCCCCGCCGAAGTTGTGGCCGGTGAGCGTCTCCCGTTTTTTAGATTTTCAACCGTGTTCTAGGTTGCGCATTTTGACAAGCGATACTGCTATCGAAAGGGTATGAGGTGCCCTTTAGGTCTGCGAAGAAAAAATCGTTACTTTTGCGGACTTCAAACGCCGAGCGCAAGTGACGCGGAACGAGACACTTAGGCCCCCGGCGTCCACGGGGTGACGGTGGTGACCAATTGCACTTGCCGGTTGTAAAGTAGAACCCCCAAGGTCTCAGCTCAAGCCCTCATCGACACCTGAGGTGGCGCGCAGCGCGCACAGCGTGCCCAACAAGAAGTGAGCCATTTTCCCGCGCTCCCGGGGGCGTTTTGAAAATCGAGTGGCGCGACCCCTTAACGTTGTCGCACGGACTTCGGACAACGACAGGAAATCATCGTTTAATGTCCTCTATCATTTAGCGCCCGAACCTCCTCAATTCGTCACTTCGACCTCCAATTTCGGGCAGGCTAACCAACACTCAGCTTTTGGACCATATTACTTCATATGTTTAAGAATCATTCTAAATTTTAAATGTGATTCCCAAATTTTCCATCTAGCAGTGACAAATATCCAAATGACAACTTTTATATCATACTATTCCAAACTTTTCAAAAATGAATTCTTTTGAGTGTTGGAAAATTCTAAACATCCACTCTTAAATAACTTCTTTTGAGAGTAGTTCAGAATGACTCAAATTTCATTGGAATTTTCCTGTAGAACTTTAAAGCTTCACAATGTAAATCTATGTCAGTTAATAATTGAAGTTTGCTCTGCGACAGGTTTGATGTTGAAGTTGCTGCTAGAGTAACTCTCGCACGTATGCGGAATGCAATGCGGAATGCAAGAATGCAAAACTATCCAGAACTTCCAGCATCGTTAAGACACTTATCGAGAATACTTAATGATGATAGATTTGAAATAATAACTCAAACTGATGATGGGGCTGATAATATTTATGGAGGTTCAGTCACCGCAGCAGATGGTTCACATCACTTACTCTTTGCATCACAGAGAATGCAAAATGTTTTGAAAACATCCCGCATTCTTCATGGTGATGGCCCAAGGAAAGTGGTGCCTACAGGAGCCAATGCAAATTTTCTGGCTCAACAGGTACAGCATGTAATAATTTTAGTGTAGTCATACAGAGCATGAGTTTGGCCATCATGTGGATAAGATCCATCTTTATTTGAATTTTACTAAGGTATATGTAATAATCACAACATGGAATTACCACATTGTGCCATGTGCATGGGTTCTTATGGAATCTCAGACAAACAAAGCTTATGCAGCTGTTTGTCAACTCCTTAGAAACCTTGTTGGCGATGACATGATAACTGAAAGGGTTATCACCGACTTTGAGTCTGCACAAAGGTGTGTTGGCAGCACTGTCGGCTTGCCCGAGGACCCATTAGGCCCTACGGAGTACCCAGGGTACCCGAGACAAAAAAGGTCTCAGCCTCCAAAGTCGGCCGAGATCACGGTGGAGATAAGCGTTTGGCCGACTTTGAGCCCAGAGACCTTTTTTTCTGGGCTGAAATTTCGACTTCCGGTATGTTGGCAGCACTTTCAGGTAGTCCAAGAACACATTAGGACCTACGGAGTACCCGGGGTACCAAGAGACAAAAAAGGTCTCAGCCTCCAAAGTCAGCCGAGATCACGGTGCGTTTGGCCGACTTTGAGCCCTGGGACCTTTTTTTCTGGGCTTGAATTTCCTTCGACTTCCGGGGTGTTGGCAGCACTTTCGGGTTGTCCAAGAACACATTAGGGCCTACAGAGTACCCGGGGTACCCGAAACAAAAAAGGGCTCAGCCTCCAAAGTCGGCCGAGATCACGGTGGAGATAAGCGTTTGGCCGACTTTGAGCCCTAAGACCTTTTTTTCTGGGCTGAAATTTCGACTTCCGGTGTGTTTGCAGAACTGTCTGGTTGCCCAAGAACACTTTAGGACCTACGGAGTACCCGTGGTACTCGAGCAAAAAAAGGTCTCAGCCTCCAAAGTCGGCCGAGATCACTGCGGAGATAAGCCTTCGGCCGACTTTCAACCCTGAGACCTTTT